CTTATCAGTGTCAAGTGAAGGCTATCCCCTTGACCAATTTTATGCTCAACCGTTGTGACGTCACTCCTTGCCCCTATTTTTCGTCCTATCTTCTAGCGCTGCATCTCTCTCTTAACCTCATCAGGTAAGAATCAATGTGAATTTGGTTTCGATTTAAATTCGCGTTGCGCTGTAGCTAAAATTCATTCTTAACTGTGGTATCATATGCGGTGAACATAAGCTCATGTCAGTAACAAAAATTTAGATATATAATAATAATCACGGTAAAGCCGATGCAAGGCAAAGTAAGACCACATATGATGTAAGTAAAAAAAGATATATGAATGAAATCAAATACATGAATATATATAAAGCTTAGCATGTTACTAGATGTCTTAAGCGTAACTAGATACTTCAGAACATTCATCTGGGTTTTCTTCAGAATCACATTCAATTTTATTAATTTCAAGCACATTTTCGGTCCGTTTAGTCGTCTTACATAACACCATCGTTTGAGCGCAGTAAGCATCACAAGGAAGCTTTATAGGGCAGAGAGTTTCTGGGAGAACAAACCATTCAGAAGCAAGAGTCGTAACCCGGACACTCTTTAGATCATACATGAAAACTGGAGTCATAAAAGAAAACCAATCCGATTTGCCTAAATCAATGAGATGACCACGCACATAACTTGCATCCGAATCGGCGGATAAAATAACTACCAGACGTAGGAGTGATGTCCCATGAGGCCAGGGTAAAATGCGTAGAAACTTGATTCGGTTGCAAGGCAATTTTGCTTCACCTAGTAGCTCAACAGAATCTGACATTTTGGATGCCGAGAGAGGGTCTTTGTAGTTTGGAAACCTATATGCCTTCAAAAAAGAGCCAACGCCAACAAGAATATAAATGAAACAAGCGGAATCATCCTCAGCAAAAAATACTGGAGAAGCAGTGATAGGGCGAAGTAAATTTACACTTCCAACAGCCTTATGCGAAAATTTGCATGATTTAGGAGGTAACTCTGACGTATGATCATTCAAATTAGTGGGTGAAGGTAAGATATTAATTATACTAAATCTGTTGGGCCAAATAAACAAAAGATATTCCCCACTAGGTGAAAAATCCAAATCAATAAGTCCTTCAGCTCGAAGAGTCTTAAGACGAACAGCATAGGCTTGTCTACCTCGTGCCAAATTCCAAATACGAAGTGTCTTATCCTTACTAATCGAAATAGCTGCCCGTTTGGTGGGATGCAAAGCCAGTTGAATAATGGCTGCTTTGTGCCTGCGCATTTGACGGATACACTCCCAGCGAGAATCATTCGCTGAGACGCTGCTTTTATTGGACAACTTTTGTTTTTTCGAAGGAGGTGCATCTTCGAGTTTTATGTCAAAAGATTGATGATAACGCCAAATTGCCACGCATGCATCATCTGCAATACTTATCAAATGGTGAGGCGAGTTCAAATGACCAGCAGTAGATGCAAAGCGAAGTGCTCTGATGGTTCCTGTGTGCATTTCAAGGCTTCCACATCGAAGCTTACGGGAAACCGAGAATACCTATAAAAATATAGCTGAAATTAAGTATCGAAAATCACAAAACTCTTCATAATATTAAAAAAATAATTCCGGCTTAGAGTCTAGAGCGTAAAGAAAATAAAAGTAGGATAAAATGAAGGTATCAAAAAAAGAATATGGATTATGAAAACGAATGCTATTAAGAATTATGAGATTTAAACAAGGCCATAGGCAGAAATACGTAAAAAAATGTGATTCGGGCTAAAATAGCCATGCACTCCGAATCCAGATATTATCAGTCTGAAATTAAAGTACTTAAATAATCTTGGGTTCATTCTGCGTAAACCTGCTCCTAATAAAAATGCGGTTTAACGGTCTTTACCTATGCATGCGATAGGTGACACTTAATAAATATATTTTATTATAAATCTGGACGAAAAGAATCCTACTTATTATCATTATGTATAAGAATCAATTCAATTCTTGATACTAATCATGCCTTACAATGTTTCAGACAGAAATAATAATCAACATATTGTATTAATTCTTAACACACGATTGGAAGACGATAAGGTTATTATAGATTTAAATTCAAATATATTAATTCAGACATTTAAAATGATTTTTTGATAAACAAGAGGGATATGTATCATGAAATAGGGGGAAAAGCGGTTGTTGTTAGGACCTGAATAATTTCATCGTCGGATCCCGAAACAACGAAGTCACCCTCGATGGCAAGCGCGGTAACAGAATTTTTATGAGCATCAGTATCAATAAAAATTGGCTTCAGCATAGAAGTCTGGCAAGTGTCATCAGTTACATAATTATATTCGAAAGAAAAGACTTCACCAGCATATGACCCACATGCAACAACAACTGACATGCTTAACTTAGTACAACAAGCCCTCGACTCTAGTTTATCTGACAAAACAAATAGTATACAAAAGTTTTATGAATCTTTAAGAGCGTAACAAAAGTCATAAATTATTTACTAAATAATAGGAAAGCCTACATATCAATGAATGAACTTTGTTATTTTGAACGGAATTTCATATATTTCATATGTTGTCAGCTATCTTGTAAAAACATTATTTTCCATGCTTAACTTATTTACTAAGCTTAGTATTATTCCTTATGCATACTGTAAGTTAAAATTGATTAGGTTTTAATTTATATTTCAAAAATTTATAATATTTTCTTTAGGTCTTTACTGAATTCTCTCGAGTTTAATTTCGCAATTACTGGAAGAAGTCATCTGGATGAATGTCGCATTCATTTTGGAAGCACAGGAAGTCATCTAATTTATATACGTAGGGTAATTGATATAGATATGATTTTCTTAGCATTACATAATCCTATCTATACTGTTTATTTTCCCCTATGATCTATAGTTTTTAACTGATAAAAAATATTTAACTTTTTTTTACTTGCTTTAGGACGCCACCAATGGGAATTTTTTTGAACTTCTAGAAGAATTATTAATGCTGAATCCTATATAGAATAATTATCCTGGTCTAATTGTGCCTACTATTATGGTAAGAATTTTCTTAAATATGTTACTCGATATAATTATCAATAATATCCAAATCCCTCGTATAAACTCTGCGAGGAGGGGAACATATATGCACGTTATTTGAATTATTTGACAGACTAATTAAAAAAAAGCTTGAATAATATGGATGTTTGCACATATCTATAGTTTAGTCAATAGCAAGCAGGAGTTGAATGGTCTTATCTCTTGCGTCATGAGTTA